TTTAAAAATTGTTAAAAAAAATGTTTTTATTTTGTTTCTTGAAAACTATTGCAGATGTAAAGCCCATTGTAGTCAATTCTATGACAGTACTAGGGATGAGTCTCCCTGATTTTTCCCCACAGATCTGAGCAAGTATGTGAACAAAATCTTACAAGAACCAAAATTTTAAACGTTTCATCTAAATCTCCAAAAAATGTCCAAAGTCACTTTCCTTTTAGCCAGAATGAAGCTTACTCAATTATCTAAAAGGATTTTAACACAGAAATTGATAAATCTTAATCCATCTACATCAAAAAATATTTTTATAAAGTGCTTCAAACATGTATGAGCCCCCTTAAAAGTGCAAAGAGGCAGTTATTGCACTGCTAAGTGTGATTTGACGAGTTCGCACTAATGTAGTGCGAAATTAGCACTGCTAGGAGTGAAATTGGGAAAGGAACTTTTTAGTGAGAAAGGCTTCCTCCGTCAGCGTTTCGAGCCTGAAGGGTTAGTGACGGCCAGTCGTCACAAGTTCAACGACAGAGCCCAACAAGAAGGTGAGAGCGCTGAAGCGTTCATCAGTGCAATCCTCACTCTGGCCCCAGACAAAGGAGGGAGCCCAGTCTTGCTGGTAGAAAATTCTATATTTTGATGGTAGAAATACTTAATCTTTAACCAGATATTTCAAGGAAGAGGTTTGATCCCAGTCTAGTACAAAATAATTCTTTAAGGGGGGACCCTGGTGAAACTTTCAAGTAGGCTTCAAAATAATCCCAGGATGTTGAAACTTTGCTTAATTATCAGGTTCATTATGGTGAGTTCCCAAAACAAAATTCAATCCAAAATATTGAACGGTCTCTGAGAAAAGTGGCTTTTTAGTGTTTTTTGGAGCGTTGGGGAAAAATCTTCCTGCGTCTTTCATTGGGACGGAAAGTCTTGAAAATTTTTTTGGGTTATCCTTAAGATGTATAGAAGAGATTTTAGTGACGGAATTTTCAAATTCGACTTCTGTCCTGAGATATGAGTTTTCAAATTTTAACATTAAAAAAAAAGTGATTTTTTCCCCTTTTTTCAAACTTTTGGGTGTGTTTTAAAAAAAGTACGGCTGATATCAAGATTCCGTCACTAAAATTTGTCGACAAGTCATCAATGAATAGAGTCCATGCAAGACGACTCATGTAGGTGTCAACCAGGAACGCAGGAAGTCTTTCTACGACAAAATTTTTTGTCGACTGAGCAAAGCTGTGAAGTTGAGCGTAGAAGCCAACGACAACTGATCTCAATGTTATTTCCTTCCAAATGATAAAGAAACTACTCACTTAGCTTAAAGGTGTTCAACCTGTTGAATCTGAAACCTTCTATGCACATTATTATCTATGAACTTTAAAAATACAATTTATTGGAATTTTGGCGATTTTTTCACCAGGGTCCCCCCTTAAGACCAGTGCTCTAATTTTTCAAGGCCAATTTCGTTCTACTTTCGTAAATTTTTACATGTAAGCAACACTGGCAACAATGATAACGGTGATTACAATAAAACAAAACGTAAATAATTATTTCAAGTTTATTGCAACATTTATTTTCCTAGACTGTAAATGAGCCTAAGCATGCAAAATTATTCATTACAAGCTAATATCACGGAAACAACTGGAGGGCATTGCCTCAAAATTAAGCAAACTTTGACTCATGTACATTCCCAACAATCTAATTTTAAGTCCAATCCATTTAAATTGTTCATCACACGAGCGTACTAGTGACCACGATGCTTTATCTTGAAGAGTGACTGGATGACTTTTGATGGATGGAGGCACACAGAAAGAACTGAACAGCGCAAGCCTTAATTCCAATATTGGAATATTCCAAAAGCTTTGAGCTTCACATCAAATCCAAGAAATTGCAGGCTTTTGCAATGAAGAACTCGTGTTTCTTCAAACATAAGCATCTTTAACACTGTCACTGCAAACCCAAGGGCAAGTTTCCTCTCCAGCTTGCCGGAATTTGGCGTTCCGGGCGTTCCCATCCCTCGTTTCCGGATTTCATGCCAAATATTAGCGTTCCAAAGAGAGCGGCAAAATTTGGCGCCCAGGTTTTCAGACTCCGCGAAAGAATCCAGCGACGATTTAAGTGGCTCAGAGTTTTCTGATGGTTACGACCTAATCGATTTCAATTTTTAACCATTTTGGACAGAGGGAGAGTCAGTTCCCCTAATGATTTTCGCTTGGTGACAAGTGTTGTTCAGGCGGCCAAATCTGAACTGCGTCACAGCTATTCTGGTCTGATGCGACTCAGAAAGGAAACACGAGCTGAAACCCTTAGCACTGAAAACTATAGTATGGACATTTCTTTTTCTGTGAACGGGTAATTCTTTTCAACAATATAATTTATAATTCAGCCTTTTAGTGCCCGGTTCTTATCCAGCTTGCAGTTTTAAATGTCCGAAATTTTATCCGGGAAAGTTGGTGAAAAACGAAAGTGACGCCTTCCGCACCGGCTGCCATTTTATTATTTGCTATGGATGCCCGGAGAGAGCAGGGTGCAAGTTTCGCCTAAAACTTTTTTTTTCTGTTTAATCCTGTCTTAATTTTATCTAGGAACATGCCTAATGTTTTGAAATGTTCTGTTCATGGATGTCCAAACACCAATAAGACGCATCACCTCCACAAGTTTCCTCTAAACGACACAAACAGGTAAGTGAGTGGGGTTAGAGCACATGGAGCATTTTTGGGTGCACACCAGTTCGCACTAAGTTCTTTGTATCTACACTCCGTTACCTGTGAGATGTGGAAATCATAGCAATGACCTGTTCGTCCTTAGATTTTATGGGATTTTTCTTTTTAAAGGTGTTTCTTTCAATGCTCTGTCTTAGGTGTTTGAAATTGGTTTGACTGTCTGGAAATCCGAAGCTCCTCAATGTTCCATTGAAGGATATGCACAAGAAGAAAGTATGCAAAGATCATTTCTCCCGTGGAATGTTTTGGAACAACACCCTGAAAAACCTGAATAGGAATGCAGAGCCTGACATCCTCGGTAATGTCTCCCAGCTGTCTTGACCACTCTTGGTGACTTGCATAAACTCTAGAACCTCTTGGAAGTGAGTCAGGACCGCCTTGGGCGATTTATGCAAGCACCAGAACGACAGTTTGAAAAGGTTTGAAAATGGTCTTCTTGACTCAACCGAATACTTCTTGCGGCACACCTCATTTATTTGATACTCCCAAGAAAAATGACCGTGTAGTGGCTGACTTTGGACTGAGGTTCTACCCCATTGAAGCAAGTAGCTTCCGAGCCCAATGCAGCGCGGAATGGCTGTCAAACTTCATAGTGGACGCAACGGTTAATGCTGCTCTCAGAGAAAATGGGATCAACCATCATTAAATCATTTATCATTAATGTTCGATCTAAAGAATCTATATTCATTGTTACAAGAGCATTATGGGAAAGGAACTTGCTGAGTTACATTTCACTCAAGGAGAAGATTTCAATAATGCCTGTTTTGTTGAATGAATATCATTGATGTTTAATCTGGGCCAATCTGAAGTCCAAAGAGTGCATAATTCTTGACTCGAGAGATAATGAAGAACGAAATGTTGGTAAATTCCTGGAAGAACTGCTGGACTTCCTGCAATTCTACAACGAGACACCAAAAGTTGGCCAATCATGCAACTCAGTGCACAGCTCCCCAAGCAAAGGGATTTTACAAACTGTGGTGTCTTCGTTATTTTTTTATGCTCTTTATTTGCTTGACATAGAATGCAGTTATAAAATTGATCCCAGTGCGTACAGAATTAAAATCGCGCGGTTCATCTTGGAAACTGCCCCCAATATGCGGCATGTGGCATTTGTGGAAAAGATGAGTACTGGAGGCCTGAGGAACTGCATTTACAGGATATCGCAGATATAGAGAAGAAAAGCACCCCTATATCAATGAATAAAATGATGCGATGTGAGAGGTGCAGGAGATGGGTGCACCAGTGTTGTGATTTAAACAGCAAAGACGTCTCATTCAGCGAGATCTGCAAAGAACTTTTTGTATTCGTTTGTGAAACCTCAACATTCATCCGCTCAAACATGTATCTCACTTCTCGGCAGTGGCGAGAAGGGCCATGCCCGAGGTAGTCCTTAGTCACTTTCAAGGGGTTGCAGAGTTTATGCTAGTCCCACAGAGGCGCCAAGACAGCTGCAAGCAGCAAGACGACCAAAATGGCAATTTTCTCAAAAGTGAAAGTTGGCAACCCTGCAGCGTCGTTCTGGTGCTTGCATAAATTGCCTCAGCCGGTCCTGACTCAATTTTAAGGGGATCTAGAATTTATGCGTAACGAAGAATGTTTTTTTTGGTTGGTTTTTAGGTTTACAAGGTCGGTTCTGTTACGCTGAGATTTTTTTTTGGGGGGGTGGTTAAAATTGTTTGGCCAAAATAACACGCACAGGTTGACGTTGATTTAAGTTCTGCCTTGCACCGATTCTGTTTGTGTCGTGAGTAAGGTTATAAGGTCAAGATGGACATTTGTTGTTCCCATTTGCTGAAAGATATGTCCTTTGTTGCTTTAAGATTTTTTCAATGACTAGTTTTTTTTTTAATATCTTGTTTAGAATGGCCACTACTTGAGGTTGAAGAGGATGGATGAAGCTGAGCTATTCGCTTCCAAGTGCCGTGTTGAACAACAAGTAACGTATCTGCGCTTCAGAAACAAGCCAGAGATGTTGTCAGGTAATACTATCTCCATTACCAGATTTTATTAGAATAACAACTTAGTGAATGATGTTTATAAACAGAAAATCTGTTGAATGACAGCAGAACCGTTTTCAATCACGATAACATTATTGTTTTCAGACAAGAAAGTTGTAATAAAACAGAAGAGTTGTCTATTGGATGCATATCCTGTTCAGACATCAAACAGACGTGTTGTTAACAACATCCCTGTGGGATATTGTGTTGAAATATTACAGTGGTTTTTAAACTGTACACTTCCACTTAACATAAATCACAAATTTGTCTATGAAAATGTCGCACAATTATGATCAGAGGAATCCCTCATACTCATTCATCCGGAAACGAGCATGGCAGCCTTTACAGGCGCAGAGCACGGAAGCGGTCGACCGACATGCAGCAGGAATGGCATAATAGACGGACGCCCATGGACTCTTTCACTGAACCCACGTCTATCCTGCGAATACATGAAAGCACCGCCGGCCAGTGAGAATCATCATCCTTCCCAATGTAACTGTCGTTTAACAGGTTTTTTTTAAGACCATGAAACAATTTTCGTCCTTGTTCCCTGCGGCTTGCCGTGACGACGGTGTCGTGTTCGTGCGCAGGGCTCGCTGTTGCGCGACACTGCGGCACGAATCCCCTCACTTTTATGAATATGTATCAAAACAGAAACTCTGGGTATCGTAACGGCAACGCCAATCGCAGATGTCCGCATGACTTCAGACGGCGGAGTGATTGCCTAAAATGAGTATGTTTTCATAGCCTAATTTGCATGAAATTGCTATCGAAGTGCGATTGAATTCTTGCGGTTTTGCGTTCAAAATTTGTAGGAAAAGATTCACCTTATACAATGCTGTGTGAGGTCTCGTACAACGTTGTACAAATACATTTCATGTGCAAGGATTCTGGTAAAAAGAAGTAGAATTGAGCTGTTCCGAGAGGAAACATGATAACGCTGTGAAAAGAGCATTAGTGCGTCATTGTAAGCGTTAAACCTACTTTTGACTTCTTTAAACAAGTAACGGCCCCCGCCCTTGCGTCGAACCTAGTTACCAGCTTCGCTGCGCCGGCAACCCGGTGGCAGGGGGCAGACCCAGCTTGGTCTGCGGGCGCCCTTTCCTCGGGCCTTCGGCCCTTGCATCAGACCCAACTTGGCAAGTCGCAGGCCACCCTTCGGGCCTTCCAACCTCCACTGCAAGAAAAAGTGTGAAAAGTGATAGATTTATTCACAACATAACGATAAATCCCTGCAATTTCACTAGAGTTCCAACCAAGGGGAAATAACTCCTGAAAATTTGTACACCGAAATTCAAAATTCATGAATTTCAAGCCGAAATTCATTGAAATTCATCGAAATTCATTGAAATTCATTGAAATTCACGAAATTCATTGAAATTCATGAATTTCGGTCTAAAATTCATCGAAATTCATTGAAATTCATGAATTTCGGTCCGAAATTCATTGAAATTCATCGAAATTCATGAATTGCGGTCTGAAATTCGTTGAAATTCATGATATTTGATCCGGAATTCAAGAAACCACGTGAATTATGGTCCAAAAGTAATTAAGATTCATTTAAATGGATAAAAGTATATCAATTGATACAAAAACTAAATAATAGTTGTACAAAACGTGGAAGTGCATTGAAAAACAATCATTTTCATGCAATTTTCTTGTAATTTAATGCGGTAAGAGCTCTCCGGTGTGCGCGCTTAGGCTGAAGCAGCCTGGCTTCTAATACCGTCGGAAGCATTCGATTTTTCTCGGTCTAGATTTGGTCTACATGACCGTCTACAGACCTAAGCAACCCCGTCTAGCATTGAGTGGCCGTTGCGGCTGGAAGGCCCTGAAAAAATTACCGCGGCGTCGGGACTCAAAAGTAGCCATGTTCATCCCTTGGCTTGGCGCGAGTGTATCCCCGCGTTTCCGTCGCGTTGCTAGGCGTGCTGTGAGCACTCACCTACGTCATGCCCGGGCGGCCAGGGGGCCGTCCGAAAGCCGTTCCAGAAGGTTCGAAAAGGTTTTCGGTAAAGAACGGCCAGGGAAAAGGCCCAGTCTCCAGAGAAGTGACACACTGTTTGCAGACGTTCCCGCAATTAGGCAAGGTCAAGGAGCCCTGCCGAGGGAAGGAATGGGAGGGGGGAGGGGGAGAGGGGAGGGAGCAGCCGGGGCGGCGACCTGCATCCTTGGGCCGAGAAGCCTCCCTCGCCCGCCACGCCGTCAAGATATTGGGACCTCAGCTGCCCTCAAAATTGGCCTAGAAATTCATTCGAACATGTTTCTGAAGCAGTGAAAGGAATGGAAGACGAATTTGAAATTTTCAGATTTGTAATGTAAAGCAAAATATTAGATCACTGGGGTGAGCCACTTGTGAACAAAGACTATTCATCCCAAAGACCCCTCATTGTAAAACGCCATTGTCGTCTGTTTTCTCTCTTCCCCGCCCGAGACCCCCCCGAGAGTGAGCCAGTGTGCGTGTGTGTGTGAATGTGTGTTGGTGCGAGGGTCGGCCTGCCTGCCGCGGTGCACTCCTCCTATTGTCTCCAATTTTAACTTCTGTCGCTTTCAATTTTTCAACACTTTAAGCGCCATATTCTGCTTCCTCATGTCCACGCGGTTAACGCCATATTTTATTTTTGGATTTTGTGATATTTTTGAGTTTTAACCCAATTTGATTACGGAATTATAGAACCACATTTTCTTGTGTATCTCCCGAAGGCCTAGACCTAGAATTGAATTTCAAAACTGCTCCTGTACATCTTTTCATGGCGCATTGAACGAGCTCCTTTATTTTACTCTTAGACTTCTAGAAGCGAATTTACATTTTGCAGCCAGAGGCAATTGTCCTTGGGGGGCCAAGACCGCTCCTCTCTCGGCCGACCCGGACTACCTGGTTGGGTCTCGCCCGCAACCCACACTGCCGGATGGCTGCACTTTTCAATGGAGAATCGGGCGCCCTTTCCCTTGCGTTGGTTCAACTGAGCTTGTCGCGCACTCGTGAAAACTCAGAGGGCTTCCCCATTCGGTTACAAAGTGTGTGTATATTTGTGACTAGAGACCGGCACTGCCGCTCGTGGCGAGCCGGCCCGGCTCGGCAACCGAGTCTCTGTGCGAGAGAGAGGTCCGAGAAAGCCGAAGCCGAGTATTGCCGAACCCGCCGGTGCAAACGGGGCTCGTCTGAGCCGTGGCCGCCCGCGCCTCGTCGCCTAGCTTGGCGGCCTTGCGGGCGCTGGGGGAGACAGACACGTTCGCAGCTCCCAGCACAGCTCCCCGGCCGACTGCCGAGCCGACCGACTCCGCACAGAGCCTCGTCGCTCTGTCTCTCTCGCACTTATGCGGGCCGCCCCATGAGTGCGACAGAGACGGAGCGACGAAGGTGATATACGGAGTCGCTCTGCAGGCCAGCGGCAACGAAATCTCACACCGAAATTCCTCAATTTTGTGATAAAATTCATGAATGTTGTTGTGAAATTCATGAATTTTGCAGTGAAATTCAATGAAATTCATTTAAATTCATCGAAATTCATCGAAATTCATTGAAATTCATTGAAATTCATTGAAATTCACTGAAATTCACTGAAATTCACCAAAATTCATGCGAAATTCAAAATTTTGTACACCGAAATTCAAAGTTATTTCCCCTTGGTTCCAACGCTGACATATCAAATGTTGGTCACACAGTTACCTCCTAACGTTGACGCTCCCATCACCCACGATGAGTTCACCCGTGAGCGATTCTCACGTTTCGGGGTAGTTTCGTTTCTTCTGACTCCTGTGCCCAAACGAGCGAAGATATCGACATAGGGTTTGTTTCTAATGTTAGGGAGGGCCATTGCCCACTAAACGCACACATTTCGAAAAGTTCACGTTCGTTGGATTGGTCTACGTAGCGTTTGGAATACCCCAAATGTAACTTCCGTGATTGTCCAAAGAGAACATACTCGAACTTTCCGCCCCCAGTGTGGCAGTGTGGTTCGAAAATGCTGCCAACTGTCGATGGGGATTCGAAGCTTGGCATGTCTCGAGCTAATTTCAACCGAAGACCAATACGCCAGACTTCTTTCAAAGGTACTTATGCTGCAACGAAAAATGTCCTCCGTATATTCAATTTCACTTCACAAATTTCGAAAAGGCAGCTCTGGACTTCTCCCCAAGCCAAACTTTTAACTTTCCATGACACAAGCCATCAAAGTGGAGTCCCGGGGATATAATTGCATGGGTCGCGGAAATCTAAGATGCTGTACACGGTCTCAAAGCGGGCAAGAGCATTATAAAATGGCGTGTATCAACAATTACCTGTAACTTCCGTGGCACCCTTTACCCAATGTTGCAGCAGCACTAGGTGAAAAAATTTTCCGCTTAAATGTCGGGCTTAGAGTATCATTTGACCCTGGAACGACTTTTAAGCCACAGCAAGCCCGAGTCAGCCGTTAAAGCTGATTTTCACACTTTGTAACTTCCGTGATAACGTAATTTCCGTGATCAAAACACCCACTAAAACGTATGGGAATACCTTATGGCTCATGTTTTTAGGAAGATAGTACAAGGTCTTTACTATAAATACCATTGCCATAACTCTAGTATCATCCAGGACCCCAATAATCAGAAAAACTTAATTGGATATTTCTCACTTTCGGCAAATCAGAGACGCCAAAACTACCCCGAAACGTGAGAATCGCTCACGTGTATGTAGAACACTACTCTTAAAGCGTGTTCAAGATGTTATCGAGGCATCAACTCACCAGAGTCCTGCTAACTTTGTGAGACTTACTAGAACCATACTTGTCCTTAAAACCATTGGCGATTTCCTCGCTTCAATTGGTATTTGTTACTTTCACACATTAGGTGTTAGATTCCATATCGCTCAACCAGCAAGGCCGCGAGTGCCTCCCAACTGGGGGGATGTTGATCCAGCTCTTCTCGAGAACTATTCAATGTTCCTTCCTTTAACTAAGTCAAGATTCCTTACCGTCGAATTTCCTAGACAGGCTGATTACATTACACAGCCTCTTGTCCTCACAATCATTCAGATTGACGCAAACAAATCTATTGCGAGAGCTTACACCAAGGAACCAACCATGGCTGACGCTTTCCTTAGACTAGTAAACGATGATGCCGTCATTGAAGGACTGCCTTTCACTGCTGCTCAGTGTCATATGATCATGACTTGTCTCTACATTAAGCCGACAGCCATGGCCTACGTTGCATCCAACGTAACTTCACCCAACTTTGGGGTTTAGTCCATAATATAATTATTCATGTTCCTATTCGTTACTTTCAATATTTTTCCACTTTCTTAGCTTCTTAAGTACAAAAGTACAACGAAAGTACAACAAAAACTGTACAAATACCCGTATTTGTCTTAACAACGCATTGCGACGGAGGCCTCGAAGAAGCGCAAAACGAGTCCGTGACAGATTCCGACAGTCCGATGTAATGTAGCGGCTGCCACACTGATCGAGATAGGCCGTAAATGGAGGTGTCCAACATCAAGCAACAGTAAAATACTTCTCTCTGAAATTATCGTGTTTACTGGCACCGTGAACGGTAACGTGGGACAGGTAATGGGAGTGCCCAAGTTACCCCGCATGAAAATGATTTTCGGTTAATTCGAATCTGCGAAGTTACTGATTCGCCCGTATCGCCACTTTTCCTGATCCATTTCACTGGTTAATAGTAATAAACAAAGATTAACACTCTCATTCCAGGAACGTGACATAACGTTGAAACGAACGTGACAAAATGTCACGTTCGTTTGAGCATTGTGTCACGTTCGTTTGAATGTGAACAAGCTGATTATTGGCCAATTCGCACCCGAACGAAGGTGACACAATGCCTAAACGAACGTGACATTTTGTCACATTCGTTTCAACGTGATGTCACGTTTCTGGAATGAGAGTGAAGTCTTTGCATGTACTGCACACTCAGATAACTTCGTAACACTTTTCTGTTTCACTGTCTTGCCCCAGATAGCCACCTCCACGGAACGCGGTCCGTCTCCTTGATCGCGACAGGCCTCCTCGGGGCAGCGTTAGCCATCCTGCGGTACACGGAAGGGCAGAATCTGGCGGTAAATGCATTTTTCCTGACAATCGCAAGAAAACAACAACGCTCACACGGTAAAAACGGTATACCTGGTTTTCCCAGTAAGCCTAGGGTAGGGAAATGAGCGGTTTCAAGGCAGTTACTGGAAGAACCAGGAACCGTCTTTTTTTTTTACCGTGTAGGTGGACTGGGCGCCTGTGCTATCCTCCTGTCTGAGCGATAGCGAAGCCCGCTACTCGGGTGGAGTTGAAGAGTTTTTCATGTCTGCGTGTCCGCACTTCTCCTGAATGGCTCGGCCGATTCGGCTCAAATTTTGTAAGGTCGTTTGGCTTACCACACTCTAAACGTCAGCTCCCAATCTGAATCCTTGCGCTCGTAACCACCCAAAAATGACTATAAACACTGCTGCCTCTGCTTTCTCGCTACAACTATGTGCTACTGCTGCATTTGCACCGGCTTTGATGGGTCTGATTGCAAAACTGTTGGCTGCAGCGATCTTAAGTTAAAGCTAGCTGATTGGATGAGCGATAGCGAAGCCTGTTACTCCAGTGGGGTTGAAAAACTTTTTCTATCTGTCTGTGTGTGTACACTACTCCTCCTGAACGGCTCGGCCGATCTCGCTGAGATTTTGCACGGTCATTGGGTATGTCCTTGGCTCGCCAGGCGCCAAAATTCAGCCTTCTATCCCATTCCATTCGGTGAATCCAACAAAAAAACACTTTAAAATAGGCAAAAAGGCAACTTTTCAGTGCCTTTCACTCTACAAATCAAAGAGTGTACATGGTACGCTCTAACTGGAGCATGCCTGCAAGCACGCTCTAACTAGCGCATGCCTGCCAAGCATGCACTAACTAGTGCATACATGCCATGTACACGCTTCCTGATGCAGAAAACTCCCTATCCCTTATGCAGTAAATGTACGCTTCAGTTATCGTGTACATGGCATGTATGCACTAGTTAGTGCATGCTTGGCAGGCATGCGCTAGCTAGAGCGTGCTTGCAGGCATGCTCCAGTTAGAGCATACTATGTACACTCTTTGATTTGTAGAGCAACTTTGATCCAAATTTTACATCGCTTATGTCAATGAGGGTGCTGGTTACGAAAATTGAACCCATTCTGACCGTTTGCGTGCCGTTCAGGAAGGGACAGAGGCTGCCGAAGGCAGGCCAGCGCCGCAGACCAAGGTAGGTGTAGACGCCAGGCGTGGATTGTCGGAACTGGCGCTGCATTGCGAAGCCTGTTACGACAAGCCACTTTCTGGCGTACACCTACCTTGTGTGACAATCATCTGGTAAATACGACACAAAGGACAAGGTTTACATGAGCCAAAGGGGGATTCTGGCCATAAGTGGTGCTAGCACGGCATGTAGGGGTATTTGGAGAGGCGGGGTGACGTCACAAATAGACCGGACCAGGTTCCGATATATCGGACGCTCAAACACTCCAAGCAGTTTAAATCCTTCTTCCAGCATTCATTAACTGTCGGCAGCCATCTTCAAGCTGGGAAAAGAAAAGTTTGATGAGATGTTGCCTACTTCAAAACATTCCACAAAAATTCACTGAGTTGGACACCTCAGGTAGATTTGGTACATCTTCAGTTTATGTACAGATCATTAAGATAAGATGATGTAGGGGTCTATTATGAAAGCAGCATTTTCCGACTTCCTCAACAAGTACAACAGAAAGCTGCGTGAAGCTAGGAGGACGAAGTATTACTGTTTGTCTCATCAGTAATCATCATTGTCGTTGTTGATGCGAGGGAGACTCGGTGCGGTCGCACTGACCGACATGACATACACGCAGAGCCTTCACGACGCGGCGTGGCCGGTGGGCCCGCTTCGTACGCGTGTACGCCCGGGCTAGTGAAATGCGTCTTTTGTGGTGGCGCCTTCTTCAAGATAGCGCACTCTGGGCGTTGCATGTCAGAAGAGGATGTACTAATTTTGATGCCCAAAACCCTGACGACCGTCAAGTATTTGTGGTGTGCGTGGCCGTGTCCCGTGTCATGTTTAGGTCCAACGTCTCCCGGTTGGACGGGGCCCCTGGCTTTGAGCGACAAATGGTCCATGATGTCAATGGGCTCATCAAAGAAACACTGAGCCAAGGGCTCCTCGCTTCGAAGGTGGCTGCAACGGCCGTGCAACCGGGCGTCGAGTTGACTATTGACAACCACGAGCACTTTCTAAATGTAACCTCGGGGCGGATGCGCGGCTGCATGCACCGGGCAGCCGAAGGGGCCAGGGCACGGAGAGCTAAATCAACTAAGACGGACCACTTCTTCCGGGGACCCTCTCCGATTTGCATGATTTTTTGTAGGCTTAAGGGGGCACACCAGTGAAAATCGTCAAATTTTGGCCTCCTTTTTTATTTATCTCATTTTTCTGCTATTCATTCCGAGTCGAACGCCGCAAACCCCACCTCAAAATTCCAATACTTTGGCTTGGCACATTTTTGAAGTTCGTAAAAAGGTAACTAATTTTTGCATATTTTACCTCAATTGTTAACGTGCAGGTGTTTCACTTGAAGTCCAATGACAAAACCCTCGAACCATCGAAACGCAGTTGGAAAAAGGAATATTATGGCGCAAACCGAACTCAAATATGTCATAAATTGCGTCCGTAATGAGGAATAATGCGTGTAAACCGTAGTTTCACTTCAAACGTCGTTTTCTCGAAACACCATTTTTATACCTGGTGCCCACGATTGCGGCCGCAAAATTGAGATAATTGAGTGCGGTTTGCGGCAAATGTTCCTTAAATTTCCCCGTTTCGTGTGACCTCGGATATGGTCGTAGCATGAACGGGGCCCTGAGCCAAGACACGGAAACGTAAAAAATATGGTCAAAAAATTAGTTTTTTTTTTTGCTTCTCAAAAAAACTTTTAGGTTTGTTTTTCCGACATGTCCGTGTTCACACGATAGCCACATGTGTCCTGATGAGAAATTTTGAAACCCCAGTTTTTGGCTCAATCGAGGGCTTCACAAATTGGGCAAAGTGGAGCCGTGTCACCGAAAAATGAAATGGCGCCCACCCCCCTTTCCCCTCACCGCCCCTGGCTGCCGTGTACTTTTTGGTTAAAATTTACATTTTTATCGTTCAAATGAAATTTCAACCCCTCACCTTCGTTACTTTAATCAGAATAACGTTTTTTTCGAAACCTCTGCATTTTCACTGGTGTGCCCCCCTTTAACTAAATAAAAGGGGAGTCTAAAGCCAAAATATAAGGTCCGGGAAAAATTTTTTGCCCCGGGTATGGCCAATTTAGTTTAACTTTTGGAGAAAAAACACGAATTTGGGTATTTTTGGGCTAATTTTACCTTTTCATATAGAGGGCTAAAATTTGGTCACTTATTGTAAAAATTTGGGCCCAAAGGAAAAAGAATTGACCTCAGATTTGACCTCCGACCAATACCTGAAAGTAAACCCCGCAAAAAACCCTAAAAAACATAAAAAAACAGTTTTTTTTTTGGGGTTTCTGGGAAAAAAATGTGGACAAACATTTCTGATGATTTTATCTTGCGGAAAATGACGCGATGAATCGAATGAGACCACGCGCAGATTTTTTTGTCAAAACCCTTTAGGGATAAACGGTTCAAAGTATGAAAATTTTCCATTTATTTTTTTTAAAAAAGCAGGTTTTGCGCATTGTTTGACGTTTTTTTTCCTCCTTGGTGCGTGTGGGTGTTCCTATCTTGTGGGAAAAAAACGCGCTGAATCGAATGAAACCACGCACAGAGTTAATCTCAAACCGTTTAGGAGATATAGCGGTTCAAAGTACGGGCACTGTAGTCCGCCCGCTCGACAGGCGTGTTTGGCAGCTCTGCCTTGTCGGGTGTTTGCAGGAGCTCTCCCGTGCCCATACTTTAAACCACTATATCTCCTAAACGGTTTGAGATACAACTCTGTGCGTGGTCTCATTCAATTCAGCGCGTCTTTTTCTACAAGGTACGATCACCCACACACACCAAGAAGGCAGATAACGTCAAACTATGCTCAAAACCTGCATTTTTTAAAAGAATAAATGGCAAAATTTGCATACTTTGATCCGCTATATCTCCTGGGGGGTTTACTCTGCAGGTATTCGTCGGAGGTCAAATCTGAGGTCATATTCTTGTTCCTTGGTCAATTTTACATATGGTGACCAAATTTTAGCCCTCTACTATGAAAAGTGTAAAATAAGTCCAAAATACCCAAATTTGTGTTTTTCCTCCAAAAGTTAAACTTAAGTTGGCCATATCTCGGTCAATAATTTTTTGCCGGACCTAATATTTTGGCTTTAGACTCTCCTTTAGTTAGTTATTAAGCCTACAAAAAAACATGCAAATCGGAGAGGGTCACCGGAAGAAGTGGTCCGTCTTAGTTGATTTTGCTTGGAACCAGGCGGCTATTGACAAAGCATCTGACGAGCTTGGTGGATTCACGGCTGCTTTCAGACGATCCTGTATGGCCTTGTCTCAACCTTAAAAGTACGATTAAAGGTCACTGGGAAGCGCCCTGTAACTTCGTGTGCGCAACCTACGAGATACGAATCGCCTTCAGCTGCAAGAGGTCACGCGAAGTTTGGGACCGTCAAAACACATCGATCACAGCAACGGTTGACACCTAAGACTCACTCAGAAACTCAAGGATGCACTGAAACCAGGACGGGGTCTCGCGGTCAAGGGTCACACTGGGGTTAGCATGGAAGGGCACCGTTGAGGGGACAGGGACTCCAGACGGGCTGGGGTCTCGCCAGCCCACTGTGGCAAAAAGGTACGGAAAATCCTGTTAATTTTTTTGCCAGGATTCCCCGTAGCCCTCTTATCAATATTCTCCGTAGGGCCGCACAGTATTCTCCGTAGGACCTCGAAGACTGTATAGTCCTACGGAGATCACTGTGCGGTCCTACGGAGAATACTGTGCGGTCTTACAGAAAATACTGTAAGAGCCTACGGAGAATATTGACAAGGGGCCTACGGAGAATTACCACAAGCTGTTTACAGAATTTTCCGTAGCTTTTTGCCACAGTGGGCCGGGACTCCGCAG